ATGGGTGTGACGTACCTGATATGTAAAAACATGGAGGGGGTGGGTGGCAAGGAAAGCCTCTAACTGAATTCCACAGGGAATTCACAGTGAGACCCTCCCCAGGGAAATGCGTGGGCATTAAAATCACAAGAGTAACAGAATGGATGGCGGTAATGACGAAACAAGGAGGCAAATCCGGAATAGATAATGCCCTGAAGGAGAGAGATATAAGCAAACAGAGCGTATACCACCATGTAAGTGGATTCGGGCTGCTGTGTAATGCAGCGAAGTATGAACAATTAGTCTGATGGTTCGAATATCAGTGCCGGTGAAGAAGGGCACATTTCATTATAGGTCCCATCAGAAAAGGATCTGAAGAAATACATAATTTATTGCTGAGATGTGTCAAATAACAGCAGAGTGTAATTTTGGGGTCTGGTAAGCAATACACCAACATGGGCAAACTGGGGGAGAGTAAATCTGATAGTCACCCGAATTACCCCTGAGCCCGTATTTCCACTGTAAAAGGATGAAGGCAAAGGATAAGATACTTGGAAATCCGCAGGTAAGGGTTCTCCCCCCCCCCCTACGGAACTTAGGGGGTTAGAAAAGTCCACATGCGGAGGCAGTGGATAAATGTCTCAAGACGCGAAGGTAACGGTGCGCTGTGAGAAAGGAGTTGCGCAGATTGGAAGCAAGAGGAGAGAGAAAGAGCGGAAGGTGGATCAGTGTCCATTGATGGTTGGTCTCTGCAAGATATCAGAGATTTGCCTTCAAGTGTTTCAGAATTCAGAGATGTTGTATGGGAGACAATATTGGGAATCGGTAGGGGGCGGAAGAGTAAAGATTGGACTGTTATTGGACTGTACAGGTAGGGGGGGGCGAAAGGGTGGAGGGAACTGGTGAAGCGTGGCAGGGGGAACAGAAGACACAGGAACCTGGGAAGGTAGCAGAGAGGAAGAAACTTGGGAGTGGGAACAGGGGAGGATGGTACATGTCGAGGAGGGAGGGTTGAACTCTGCTCTTGTAACTGAGCCAGTGAGAGGGGAAAGAACTAGGGACAGAGACAGGGAGGTAAAATGAGGGGTGGAAGATGGGTAGGAGGTGTTACAGGACGCTTTTTTGTACTTTTGAGAAGTAGAGGGGAGACGATTGGGAAGAGGATGTCGTACGAGGTCTCGTCGATACTGAGGCTTGTTAGAGAGAACTCGAAGAAGACGAGATTAGGACTGAGGCGTTGAAGTAGGGACGTTGAGACGGAGGACAGCAAAAGGATTGGATACAGGAGTGATTATGGGAGAGGTAACCACAGAGGGGTGTTATAAGTAGAAGATGGGATACCAGAAGTGGGGGGACGTTTTGAAACACGGGAATAAGAAACACGTGGGAGTCTCCCTTGGAGGCGGAGATGAGAAACTGCCATGGCATAAGGGAGACCTTCTGTCTCTTTGAGGTAACGGATTTCCCGCTCGTTTAAATAGACCTGACAACGGCGAGAGTACGAAGGGTGAGCCTCATGACAGTTAAGGCAAGAGGGAGATCGATTGCAAGACGTATTAGAATGGTCATCGGCACCACAGACTGGGCATTCGGCGATAGATCTGCAATATTTCGCTGGAGGCCAAATCGCCAGCAATTTCTACACTGTTGTGGTGTAGGGATCACCTTTCGAACTTGTAACCGATGTCCTGCTATATAAACTGAGGATGGGAGTTCTCGGCTGTCAAAAGTTAAACGAGCCACATTGCTAGGGTATCGTCTCCGCCCACGGGCAGGAAGAACGTAAGTGTCTACCTTGAGGATTGGGAGATCTTGGAGTTCCAGCTGTTCTAGAATGTCGGTGCCACATGTCTGGAAATTTTGTTGAACTATGGTATGGGGCAGAATGACGGTACCACTACAAGAATTGAGGGAATGATGTTTTTCAAGGGTGACAGGAACAGTATCTATATGGGAAAGACGAGAGAGCTCACGAGCCTGGGTAGCATTCTGTACGGTAATGATGCGCGTACCGCTCTTAAGAGCATGAAAAGAAATATCTTTACCAACATGGCGTAGGAGTGCCTTGCCAATACTATGGTCAGAAAGATAGGCAGTAGAGGAAGTTGGTCGTAAAGTGAAGAATTTAGTCCATGTTCAGTCTGAAACTGAGCGTGGAAAGGTAGTGGAAGGACGTGTCGATCGTTTCTGAGAAGAACGAGAAGGTGAAGTGGAGAAGTATCTTCAGCAGGTAATTGTCGTTGCGTTTAGGCGTGGGACCGAGTTGGTCCGACGTGGGAACGGTTCGGCGATTGAAAATGGCCGCACGTTAGAGGGATGAGGCGGAAGCATAGTCAGAGGAGAGCGAAGGTTTCTGATAATCGAAGGAGTCTGTCGAGCGCCTCAGTACCTTAAAGGGGTGAGGAAACAGCACCGGCATAGGTACAGAGGCATGAGGAATGTCTGAAGAGTGGTTCCAAAGACGAGGCGGGTCGAACGGGGTGCAGGTATCATGAAGGGGCCCCGGGGGTCGGGGTACCAGGTCATGGACTAGGGCTGACATGGTTGGTTATTCTTTCTTTTTGTTTTTTCAGAAAAAAAAAAGAAAGAGAAAAGAAAATAAAAAGATAAAAAAGACAGAAAAAACAAGGGGGGGGACCGGGGTGGGATAGGTCCTAGGAGGTAGACAGGGCCAGAAAATCTCCCTCCGCGCCCCAAGAGGACATCAGCACCGCAAGTAGTCGCAGACGCATCATGGAACCGTGCCATAACCCTACCCATCATGCTAGTAATACTAACAATCGGGATAGCAACCTTCAACAGCTGACGAGCTACCTCGGTGGACAAAAGAGAGGGCGGCGGATATACGCCACAAAGCATACATCCTTCGGCCACCACCCCGGAATCCGAAAAGGTGGCTTCCAGAGATAACACTCGTCGCCCGAAAAGACACCCAAAGTACTACGGGATACCGGAGAGGATCGAGGGACTTTCCCTAGGCGATCCTGATTTCCCGGACAAAACTAGCCCACCGCTAAGAACCTTAACGGAATGGGATGGACCCCGGTATCCTTTCTCCTACCCAGGAACTAGCGCGCCTGTGGGAGAAATCCCAAAGGGCAAAAGGGAGGAGTGGGGAGGAGGAGGAGGAAAGGAAAAAGGGGAGGATGGGGAGGATGGGATAGGGGAGGGGAGATTGGGGGGTAATTAGGTTCGGTCTGAGGAAGAAGACCGATAGGTCTAATTCCTCAGACCAAGAGCCTCTTCACCACGCCAAGGAGCCCCCCTTGAAGAGGATGTAGTCTCCGAGAAGAAAGTATTCAAACACTCCGGGGAGAATCTCGAGTTTTCCCTGAAGTTTATTTTTTTTTTTCTGAGGATGAGGGTCCTCAGTCCAGTTCCAGACGGGGTACCTCCCTATATTTTTTTTATGCTCGTATATATATTTCTAGCAGTCGCAAAACAGATAATTCCACTTGATGGTAATTTACTTACAACTGGTTTCAAAAGACCCGTGAACAAAAACCAACACATATTTATTAGAAAACGTTTGTCCTGTGACCTTGATCACTTTTAAATCAATTTGTCTATCAATTACCGATTGACTTAGTTAATAAAAGTTTGTCAAAAGGTTTCATGCATTGAATGAATGAATTATTTTTTCCAGAATTATATGTTTCTAAGCACTCTTACATATCTCTTATTGTTCTGTGTATAATATATATTAAGTTCTAGCTCATAAAATATCCCAAAAGTCTTGCCGGTAATATTCCTTAATTAAATTCCATCATGTTTCATTTTCTGCATGCAAGCATGAGACTGAAACCTAACAGCATGATACAGCATGGAAAATTGACCACATGAAATATTTGTTACTTGAGAGGTGTCTGCGTCGGCCTGAGGGATTTGAAGACCTGGAGAGGGATCAGTGGACAGATCAGTAGAATTTGTACTTTTAAGGTAGTCCGTGGTGTGTGTGTGTGTGTGTGTGGGGAAGGGGGAGTGGTATTGCTGAGTAATTGATAAGGGATATACTAGAGGGAGGATTTTTCAGACGAGTAGGTTATTCCTTCTGTCATTTCTCCAGTTTTTTTTTTTTTTAATTATCCTTTTATTCTCTCCCTCGATTGTTGTCTTTGCTGTCTGTTTTCTTCTGAGACCAGACATATCAGTGTCATTGTGTGTTCTCAATACCCAGGAAGAGGCACACATTGAAAAAAAAAAAAACTTTTAATGGGGTCAGCATTTTGTTTTACGTAGAAATTTGTCAATATCAAAACATTTCGCTAATAAAAACATACTCTGCTGTCGGCAATAAACTACCGTATTTTCCAGCATATAAGACGCACGACAGAAGTATCATAACGGTAAATCAGTAATATTCAAGGGTTTATTACCCTCTTACTTTACGTTGAAGTGTAACACAAAGTTTACCCTTGACACTGACCTTGAGCATATAAGACGCAGGGTGATTTTTCCAAGACTTTTTGTGGAGAAAAAAAAATGCGCGACTTATATGCCGAGAAATACGGTATTTCAGTCCATCTGGTTTTCAAGTTTGCTTTCCGACGCTAGAGTCTGTCACCATTTTGTGTTTCCTCCTTCCATTTCATCAGCTTTCCCATTTATTCCTTTAGTCTCTAAATTAATTCTTCAGCTGCTATCGCTGTTTTTTCTTGTTTCTTATCAGAGATAATTGAATTTCCAGTTCATATTTGTTAATCAGCTCAGTTTGGTTAACATGGGATCTTAGTGATATATTTAAGTCTGTGCACATGTGTCTCTGTGTTTGAGTAAATTTAATTGTGAATGAGCATGGTTCTTTTGCTAACATGAATCAGTGTATGCAGGTGTCTTTGTCCAAGTATATGAGCGAATCTAAGTGCATATACGCAGGTGTGTGTATGTGAGTGGTTCTGAGTATGTATACACCTGGCTGTGTATGTGAGTGGTTCTGAGCATGTATACACCTGGCTGTGTGTGTGTGTGTTAGAGGTTAGGGGGCGGCGAGTGTTAACGACCTGACCCCCACGTCTCCTCAGGCTCCTCCCTCCAAGAAGAAGTCTCCCAAGAAGAAGCGGGCGTGGCCATGGGCACTACTGGGGCTGCGGGGAGGAGGGCGGGAGGCAAGCAAAACTCCTCAGGGAGGTAGCGGGGGTAGCGCCCCTGCCCCCGTTTCTTCTCGGGCCTCCTCCCGGGCCTCCTCACGTAGTTCCCATCGCCCTCGACGTCCCAGCGTGAGAGCCTCCAAGATCCGACGTGATGTGAGTGTCTTTCTCTCTCTGTCTCTCTCTCTCTCCTTCCCTCCTCACCTGTTCTTCCCGACATGTATGTGCATTCACATTAATTCCTAACTTACCCACACAACGTAATTTTCATTGCTGCTTCATCATCAGCTACCACCAAGCCATTATTATCCCCACAACACAGCAGTACCTCCATTCTCACTGGTGTCCACCTGGGACTCTCATCCACAATGTTAAAATCCAGGACTTAACCCCTGACATTCTTCTCTGGCAACCTCAAGCAGTTGTAAAGCCATAAATCCAACTTGATTAATAAATTGCTCATTTACCTCATATTGTTGGGACAAGTTCTTCCTTCAAGAGACGCCTTGTTGCTGAAGGTTTTTGATTCAAAGAAATGGCGTTTCATTGTCTTGGATCTTAAACCTATTTACCTCACACTCCTCGGAGAGTGTATAACCCCCTTACAATTTTAGCTCTTCTCACTGAGTTCACACCTCACCCGTTCAGTGATTTGATTAATATAACTATTAATTTGAAAAGCTCCATTTTTATAACATTTTGATCACATTGGTTTTGGCTTTACATCTGATTTTAATGTTTTTTCTCACTTTTCTATAGAGTTTTGACGCATTGCTCATGCTTATAAAACCCTGCAGTAAGTAGTTCTTGTTGTTAAGATGGTGCTGGTGGTAGTGTTGGAGATGGCGATTATGTGGTTTGTGTGTGTGTGTGTGCGCGCTAGAGTTAGATCTAATTGTGGCAAAGGTGACTAACTGAAGGTGGGAGCATGTGTAGATGGCGCTGGTGAGGTGCTGTGAAGGATCAGTATAACGAGTATATTTTGTGTTGCAGGGCCAGTCTCCATGGTTCACTAAGGAGCGGCAGCAGCAGCGGGAGCAGCAGCAGCATCAACAACAGGGGCTGCAGCATCAGGAGGAGGAGGAGGGAAAAAGCGCCACCTCCTCCCTGGCAGACATCTACGCTGAGCCGGGCAGAACTGCGGGAGAGGAGGGGCGGCACTGCCGGAGATGCTACAGTGGAGGGTCGTGGCTACTCCACTGTCCAACGACCCACCAGGAAGTACTCTGCAGAGTCCTCTGCCTCTTCTGTTGGTCCGCCTCCACCGCCGCAAGCGGCCCGAACCACTAGTTTTAAGCACAGGTATTTTGGTGACACCGACATCGAGAGTAATCATGGTGGCATGAATGCCGTTGGTGACTACCGTAGCCTGCCTAACCGCTCAAGTAGGTCGGCCCACAAGAGTGCTGGAAGGGGCCGTAGGACTGCTAGTGGCCCTCGGGGCATGTCACCGCCAGTAGTGGGCTCAGCTGGTAGCTCCCTGCAGAGTAGCGAGAGTGAAGTGGACAGTCATGGAGGCTCTCATGCCTCGCGTGCCTCAAAGGCTTCAAGGATATCGACAGGATCCAATAAATCAGTTTATCTCCATGCCACAGCCATCGCTGACATCCCCGTGCGTCGCGGCCCTGAAGATGCTCCCAGTGAGAGAAGTGTCAGCCGCCAGACAAAGAAAGTCTCGCGATCCTTCTCCCTGCTTGCTCCCTGGAAGCCGCGACATTACCGTGAGAAGTTTGAGGTTGAGTATGATAACAAGGAAGTGAGAGACGCTCGCAGCTCTGACCACAACGCCAGTAAGGGTGCCCTTCCCCCCCGTCCTCCAAGACGACCTGTTCACGATCCCAACGACAAGACGGTCAACCGCTCACAGAGCGTCTACAAGGATTCCCGCCTTGCCACCTGGCTTCGACGACGTAGAAACAAGGAAGCCAAAGGAATCTGACGCCGACAGCAGCAGCAAGAGCTTTAAGAGCTGCAGTAACAGGACCAACTGAAGTAACAGCTGCTAGAGTAGCAATTTTCCAAATAAGTGAAATGTAAACAAGAATGAAACTTACATATTCTGTGGAGAAGTTGGCGGTATATATGTGTACACAACACCCCCACAAGTCATCTTCATATCTTAACTTCTTTATGTCACACTCACTCACACTGTTTCACCCGTTTTCTTCCTGTGTATCTCACCTCCAGTCAACTTTTCTTCACAATAACACAGCTAAGCTTCACTAACACCGGTTGCTGCTGCCTGTAAATATGTTCGTAAACTGTCCTGTCATGTAATTGGTTAAATTACATAACAGGATACAATAAATAGATCGAGTACTGCCTTTGTGACGTGTACCAGTATTTCTGAAGAATCTGAAACCTTCCAGTGAATAAATAGATGGATTTATTAGCTGTGGAATTTTAACAAGAGTAAAATGTAAGTGTTTTTACTGATGCAAGTCTTGTTTCATATGATGCCTCGCTCACTGGACTTTTTGGTCATATGACCGATGCCTTCCACTGGCTTTCCAGTCCACCCCTAAAATATTTTTAGATAAAATTCTCTTTCATCACGATATATAAAAAGGCACACTACAACATGGTGCCATAGGATTGTTTTTGTAGATCAATCATCATCAAGAAGACAATTTGCAGAAGCTTCTATTAGGACAACGATCAGCTCCGTGTATCATTTTATCTTGACTTTCCAACTCTCAACACAGCAAAACTTTTTTTTTTTTTTAAAGAATATTCTGTCTCCATGCTTGGGGAAAATTTCCCTTTTTTCGAAATCCACTCAGTGTCAAGAATCCTTCTCTGGTGACATGATGTGAATCCTACAAATTTCACTCCTTTTAAAAAGGTTGAAGGGAGTAAAAGAAAAGTGCAACACTGTTTCCCCATACTTGAGGAATGTTGTGGGGAGTTTGTTTGAAGGAGTGAAGACTTCCAAAGCTTCAATGGGTGGTTTTTGGGTTTTATGTATGTTGTTGTCAGCTTGTTCTTCGAAAGGATTTAACATGGTGGTAATTTTTTTAATCATTATTCATTTTTTTCCTCACTCCCTCTTGTTTTATTGGGGTTTGCGTGGTTAAATGTTTGCTTTATGCGGAAATTGAAATTTTGCATTGAACTTGGGAAATTTTCCCAGGTCGGGGTTTTTTGGGTGGGAACAATGTAAGAGTTTTTTTGCGGCAGTGTGTTGTCCACTCTTGAAGCCTTGTGGTGATTATATTGTAAAGCGTCTCTGAAAGACCTTTGAGAGAGAGAGAGAGAGAGGGAGAGTGTGTGTGTGTGTGTGTATGTATTCTCACATTCCTATTTTTCCCGAGAGAGAGAGAGAGGAACTGGGGAAATTTCAACGCTGTTTTACGGGGATCGATTCTCGGTTCCTGCCTCTTAGTCAGGGACTCGTTGGTGTGTGGGTGTGTGTGGTGTGTGTGTGTGTGTGTGTGTGGGTGTGTTTTTGTGTGTGTGTGTGTGGTGTGTGGTCAGTCATGTGAAAAATCCCTGGGTTGTTTATTCATAAAAAAAACATCTGCGACAATTGGAGATTTCAGTCGGAGCCACTAAGTAAATATGTTTTTTATTTCTGTATTGGTGGGGAAAAAAAAAACGAAGAGAAAAACAAATATTTTGTTTTTTTTCAATCGTACAAATGAACGCTGAAACTGCCCGGTTGTCGAACAAAAAAGTGTCAATCTTTAGTGCAGAGAAATTTTCATCGCTAGAAAGCGAAAAAAAAAAAAATAAACCCCCAAAATTTCGAAACCTAAAAACTCTGATATTTTTTTCGTTTTTTTAACAGTGAGTCGGGGAGGGGTTTATGAGACAAAAAATATTTTCGGCTTAGCCCACATTTACTTTTTTTAAACGGGGAAAAGAAAAAAAAAATTTTACTGTTTCCTCCTTAAAAATTGTTGGTGCTTTTTTTATGAATTTTTAATAATAATATACAAATGTGTTTTTAAATTTGAGGGAGTTTGGGGGGGAAAAGGATTATATTATTATAATAAAAAAGAAGCGCTAAGCCAAAAGGGCTATACAGCGTGCAGGGTAGGGAAGGAAGCAAAAGGGAATTGGATGGCAGGAGGGGGGGGGGGGGGGGGGGGATGATCAGCAGGTTTACAGAAAACAGCGGGGCAGGGGTAGTACGGGGGTAGAGGGTAGCAAAGGGGGAAAAGTAAAAAGGGGCTGAAAAAGTATCGAATTTGGAAGTAAGTCGTGTTGTCAAAAAGTCAATAAGAGGCCCGGGGATAAAAAGGTGGGTCCATCAGCGAGGGGAAAGGTTTTAAAGAGAGAGAGGGGGGGCGAAACGACGACAGAGGAAAATTCTGCGTGTCGTTGAAAAAGTGGGGCCCAACAGAATGTGGCTGTGAAAATGGAGTTTGGGCAATTTCACGAGAGGAGAAAAGCGCCTCCCCATGAGATATCCATGGTAAGACGAGTATGGCCAATGCGAAGACGGGAGAGAGTAGTCCCCCAACCTCGCACTGGTGAAAAGAAGACGGCCAGTAACCTATATCGGTTTAATAGACTAAAGTTTTTTTGGAGCATAGTGCCCACGTTGTTGCCAAGGGTGTGAAGGGGGGAAAAGATATTACAGCAAATAGTCCGTACAGGGAAAATACCTCTGTAAGAAACGGGGGGTCATGTATGCTGACGCGCAGCAGTGTCTGCCTGTTCTTGCCCTGTCATCAACATGCCCAGGGACCCAACAAAAAAAAATCTTTTGCTTAGTAAAGTGCGGGTACCCAAATTTGGTAGGAGGATAAGGGGTGAGGTGTATAAAAATTTTTGTATAGCCTGTAAAGCACAAAGGGGAGTCTGAGAAAACCAAAATGATGACACAGGATAGTGCAATAGGATAAGTGCTGTAAGGATGGCATAAAAATTCAGCAGTAAAATCTAGTGAAGAAGTAAATGCCCTTTTACGACGCTGTCCGGAAACATGCTGCGAATCCTACGCCCTCAGAAAACTTTGAGCCATCTGTGTACACAGCCAATGGGATGAGAAGAGAGTGAAAGTGGTCAAGAAAAAGAGAGCGGGAAGCGACCGAGCAGTTGGGGTTTCGGCAAGGGAGGGGGAAAGAAAAGCTCGAACAGGGGACCTCCCCGGGGGGTAGGGAAAAGTGGATGCTCAGTAATAGAAAAAGGGGGTAGTTGAAGAGAAGACAAAAAGCGAATGAAGGCGAAGGGAAAAAGGGACGGAGTAAGCAGGGGGGGGCGAACAAAAAAAGAATGTTATTAAAATAGTGACCTTCTATAAATGGAAGGATTGCGGAGATCATGAGAGCGTAATAGGGCAGGCAATGGGCATCACGGCGATCGGATAAGGATGGAAAGTTTTGTTCTGCATAGAGGCGTTTGAAGGGGAAGAGCGAAAAAGCACCAAAGGGAAAAACGTAATCTTTGGTGATGAATGGGGTTAAGGTAGAGAGGTAGCAGGAATGCCCCTGAATAGATCGGTCACCATAATCAATTTCGATAAAATAAGGGTGGAATGAGGTGAAGGAGGGTTCGACGACAGTCCCCCCGAAAAAAGAGCAAGGGTTTTAAGAAGGTTCGCCGGCTGTGACAAGTTTCCTTTAGAAGGTAATGTGAGGTTTCCGGAAAACCTACGATCAAAGAGGAGGCCCCGAAACTTGACTGTATACGTTCAGGGGTACGGAGCCATGAGGTACAAAATGATCGAGATGCAGAGCGTTTTTTGAAAGTGATTTGGTGGTTTTGTGGGAAATTTAAACCATGTGTGGTGGCCCCCTTGGAAACCGGTGACTGGGATGCTGGGAGAGAAAAATGTAAGGAGGTGACAGTCAGGCCCGACAGGGAATAGCAAGTCATCAACTTGAGTGATGACCAAATAGTGGATAGAGGCCAAATCATTAATGCAAGGAGAAAAAAATGTTGTGCTCGAAAACATCCCCGGGGGACACCTTTGTTGGACAAAGCCGGGGAGAGCACTTATTAAACCCCAACACGGAAAAGCCGTCAGTTAAAAGTTCTTAAGGAAGGATGGTTGATTGCCCCGAAGGCCTAGGGGTGGGGGTTGGGTAAAATATTTACCCCCAAGTTGTGTCATATGCCTCTCAAGGTCAAAAAATATGGCAATAACTGGTGGTTATTCGAAAAGGCATTAGAACTAGTATCCAAAGGGGCCCAAATAAGGGGTCTATGGTAGAACGTCCTTACGAAAGCCCTATTGAGGGGAGAGGGCTGTTGTGTGTCTCTAAATACCAACTAAACGTCTATTTTCGACGTTCCCTTACTTTGAAAATGCACTGGTAGAGCAATGGGCGATAGTGGGGGTTTCATGTCCCCCAGTGCCTGGTTTGCGGGGAAAGGGAAACAATGGCGGGGTTTCCAAGTGTGGAAGAACTCCTTGTGACCAAATAAAATTGTAAAGGTGTAAAAGGACTGCAAGGGCTGCTGATGTAAAAGTTGTAGCATACGAATAGAAAGTCGTCGGGCCCCCGCTGCCCATGATCGACAAGCTGAGAGTGTTGCCCCCAGTTTTTGAAATGTAAAAGGCACATTATTTCTGTTCTTCTTGAGGAAAAAAAAGTCCAAGGGTGCTAACTCTCTGGCAGCTTTTAGGAAAAAAAGAGGGGGTGATGGAGTCCCCGGAAATACGGACAGATGATTGCCAATTTCATTGGCAACATTGTGGGTTTGTATTCAAACACGGCAACCGCGAACAGGAGCCGGGGGTCAGGAGAATATTTACCACTCAGTTTCGACTTTTTCCCGACTGCACCATAGAGGAAGCAGAGGTGATGGTGGAGAATATTCGCCCGCAAAATGCGTTTTTGCGTCAGGATACACGGCGAGCGATGCACGCTTTTGTTTAAAAAAAGGAGTGCTCTGTGGTTCTATTGTACCGGTCCCGCCCCATGCAGCGGGTTTTAAAGTACTGCACGGGCACAAGCAGGGACCACCCAAAGGGACGCATTTTTTGAGAAACCGCCCCAAGTTTTGGGGGGTTAGAATGAGAAGCTGCGGTGAAAACGGAGGACGAGAAGAGGTGTAAAAGCTCATCGATGGAGGACGAAGAAGGAACCTCTTTAAAAAAGTCAGGTGTGAGTAAAGGTTCCATTTGCCCGTTTTAAATTGCCAGCGTGGGTGGCGAAGAGGTGGCAAATATAAAGGGGGAAAAGTAAGAATGATTGGGAAATGATCACTGTCATTTTAAGTCCGGGGGGAGAACAGACCAAGTAAGTCTAATGCGGCGGAGGAAGAGCAAATGAGAGATCGATGCAAGAGAGAGTATGAGTCGAGGATCAAAATGGGTGTGGGGTACCGTATTAAAACATGGAGGGGGTGGGTGGCAAGAAAAGCCTCTAACTGAATTCCACGGGAATCACAGTGAGACCCTCCCCAGAGGAAATGGTGGGCATTAAAATCACCAAGCAACAGAATCGGTGGCGGTAATGACGAAACAAGGAAGGCAAAATCCGGAATAGATAATGCCCGAGAAGGAGAGAGATATAAAGAACAGAGCGTATACCACCTATGTAAGTGGATACGGGCTGCTGTGTAATGCAGCGATTATGAGCTAAAGGCTCGGGCTCAGGCACCTACCCTACCCTAGAAGGGTTAGGCATGGTGTCGATCGATATGTGGGAGAAAGGAGAGAGAGGAAAGTCATGGGAAAGGAGAGAGAGGAAAGTCATGGGAAAGTTGTTGAAGTTAAATCGCTTTAACCAGTAAATGCATTTGTTTACATTAAGGTGCTACGATTTTATAATTTTTTTTTTTAAATTATAATGTTAATTACTCAAAGATTTTAAATGAAAATCGACAGGTAATTAGTACGAAACTGTATTATTATTGTTGTATTCTTTATTATTGTTTCTGTTATTTAGGAGTGTTTAAGTAACGATTTTGATTGTACATATAAAATAAACAGCAAATATTTAGATGTTGTGAACAATTATTGTAAATGTATAAACTGTATACAGACTTCAATATATTTTTTTATTCTGGTATCAAAAAAAAAAATAGTTTTGTCAGGTAAACTCCAGTATATGGTCCAGATATTTTTTAAAAGTATCATAACCAGTTTAATTAATTGTGAAATTTTAAAAGTTGCTGGATGACCCATATGGGTTTAAAGATTGTGAAATATAAAGATTTACAAAATTGTAGTAATTTTTAATGTGTGAGTATTTAGTCGTTTTATGTTGCCATAATTATTAATGCCTAACAGCCAATATATGGTGTTGTAATGTGTACTCTCATATACATATTTGTGAGGTTTGAATATCGGTTCGTGACCACCATCTCGAAATTAGCCAAGAACAATTTCATTTAGTGTGTATAGTGAATATAATAAGACTGGTCTTACTAATACCGTATTCATCTTCATACTCTTTTTCTTTTTTTTTTTTTTGATAT